AATATAAATTGAAATATTTAGTTATTTTTTTTAATGTTTTGTACATAAAATGTTGGCCACAGGATAGACTAGTGTGGCGAAAATATAAGTTGTTGAAAATTTGCAGATTCTGAGAATTTGAATCATATGCTTAGAATGCTCATTAAAAATAAGAATCTAAGATTCAAAAAATGTTTTAATATTCTAAAATGCATTGACTTTTATATATCGAAGTCCTGGCATTCCTAAAACTTTTCTAGGTCCACACACATGTTTGTCCGTACTCAGAAAAACTTAACTTTTTTGGCAAAAATGTTAGGACGAACCTAAAATCGCTTAAAGTGATACGGTTATTGATTTCGATAGATTTTCACGCTGGTTTAAATTAGTACAATTTACAATTTCACATTTTTTAATAATACTGTTCCAAATAACAGCATTCAATATTTCCGTTTATACAGAACAAACGCAAGAAATTGAAAAAAAAATGTTTCACCGATTCAGTAGTAATTAAGCAACTATATGATTCCGCGTACCGTTAACGGCCTAAGATGCAACTACATTGTTATAAATTAGCTAAACTTCCAGAGTTTCAAAAATTAAATTTAATTGTCAGTATTGTTACTTATGATGCTAAATTTGGTATCTTTTTATACCGTGTGTATAACATTTTCGGTTAAAAACAAAACAAAAAGCAAAACAAACGGAAAAACAAAACATATAATATATAAACTTTGATAACTTTTTCCATGTTGAAAACACGGGATTCTCGAATAATCTTAAACAGATCATGTACGATCGTGGACCAAAAGTTGGGGAAGTCAAATATATTTAACGCCCCAGAGTATAAAACCTAAACAGAACAGCCACAAATCGTCTAAAACAAACTCTGTGTGATGGAGTTACAATCTCAATTTTAGTAATTAACACTTTTATTTTTTGAATTTTCAGCCGAACAGAAAGCATAACAGGTATATTCATTGACTATATTTGGATCGCTACCAAAAAATTCCGGCTATGATCGATCACTCAAGCATCTATCCTTCACCCAAGAATGGTTTCATTTTGCTAAGCGTGCATTCTCAGTTGTTTTTTAAGTACACAAGTTTAACTCGGACTGGGGAACACGCCGGATGAAAAGTTATGTGACAAGCCCTTACAATTTTGATGAGCTAACGTGGTTATAATACTTATCATTTATTTACTCTCATTTATAAAAGCAACAACAGCAGTTCTAAAATATAAATTGAAATATTTAGTTATTTTTTTTAATGTTTTGTACATAAAATGTTGGCCACAGGATAGACTAGTGTGGCGAAAATATAAGTTGTTGAAAATTTGCAGATTCTGAGAATTTGAATCATATGCTTAGAATGCTCATTAAAAATAAGAATCTAAGATTCAAAAAATGTTTTAATATTCTAAAATGCATTGACTTTTATATATCGAAGTCCTGGCATTCCTAAAACTTTTCTAGGTCCACACACATGTTTGTCCGTACTCAGAAAAACTTAACTTTTTTGGCAAAAATGTTAGGACGAACCTAAAATCGCTTAAAGTGATACGGTTATTGATTTCGATAGATTTTCACGCTGGTTTAAATTAGTACAATTTACAATTTCACATTTTTTAACAATACTGTTCCAAATAACAGCATTCAATATTTCCGTTTATACAGAACAAACGCAAGAAATTGAAAAAAAATGTTTCACCGATTCAGTAGTAATTAAGCAACTATATGATTCCGCGTACCGTTAATGGCCTAAGATGCAACTACATTGTTATAAATTAGCTAAACTTCCAGAGTTTCAAAAATTAAATTTAATTGTCAGTATTGTTACTTATGATGCTAAATTTGGTATCTTTTTATACCGTGTGTATAACATTTTCGGTTAAAAACAAAACAAAAAGCAAAACAAACGGAAAAACAAAACATATAATATATAAACTTTGATAACTTTTTCCATGTTGAAAACACGGGATTCTCGAATAATCTTAAACAGATCATGTACGATCGTGGACCAAAAGTTGGGGAAGTCAAATATATTTAACGCCCCAGAGTATAAAACCTAAACAGAACAGCCACAAATCGTCTAAAACAAACTCTGTGTGATGGAGTTACAATCTCAATTTTAGTAAATAACACTTTTATTTTTTGAATTTTCAGCCGAACAGAAAGCATAACAAGTATATTCATTGACTATATTTGGATCGCTACCAAAAAATTCCGGCTATGATCGATCACTCAAGCATCTATCCTTCACCCAAGAATGGTTTCATTTTGCTAAGCGTGCATTCTCAGTTGTTTTTTAAGTACACAAGTTTAACTCGGACTGGGGAACACGCCGGATGAAAAGTTATGTGACAAGCCCTTACAATTTTGATGAGCTAACGTGGTTATAATACTTATCATTTATTTACTCTCATTTATAAAAGCAACAACAGCAGTTCTAAAATATAAATTGAAATATTTAGTTATTTTTTTTAATGTTTTGTACATAAAACAAAACAACAACAAAAAAGAAAAAGAAAAGAATATAATTTCAAATGAATGCTTTGTGTATTGCTTCAATTAAACCAGAGAAAAATATAAACATAGTTATATGTCTTTGATCAAACCCTTTAAAAATGTTAAAAGCTGAGTTATATGTCTCTGATCAAACCCTTTAAAAATGTTAAAAGCTGAAATACAACTTCTTAAAGGTCTGATTCCGTTAGACGTTTTCCTTCATACACGTTTACTAAATAACATATCTAAACAAATTGAAACCGAAGGCTTATATATAGTTTAAAAGTCATATAAGAATTGTTTTAAGCCATTGCTTCTTTGGAACTTATAAAAATATTAAATCGAACTTTGGCCGAAAAAATGTAGAAAAAATTAAGAAAATAAAATATCAAGCATGCTATAAGATATACGCGATTGAAATTACAGTTGGTAGTTTAAGTATAATACCCTTTTCATCAATAAATACGATAAAAAACAATAATTGTACTTTTCATGGACAACATTAAAAATTCTGTATTAAATACCGCATAACGTTTATGAAAATCTGGGACTAATACATTATATACATGCATGAAAGTGAAAATCATTGAATGATAATCTTCTCGAACATTGCTGTACAACCTGGCATGCCTATATCATCAAACACTGATAACTATCATAATTATGCGTTCCAACTTTAATAAATTAGTTTTGTGTAGCTCTTTGTGCCATGGTTTGTTCTGTCTATGTTCGACTTATGGTTTTTAATTGCACCCTTGGTGTCTTCGACCTTTTTTTGTTCTGTCTTTCCAAACTGTAAGTCTCGAGCGAACCTAATAAGGATTATTTTAAGAAACCCGCGCCTTGATCCCTATTATTCGGTAGCATACGTTGTAAATTTGTCAAAGTTCTGCTACTCAATGGTCGCCCGGTCAAGTTACACTCGATACCGTGCACCAAGTCACAAGTATAGCCAATGTTTTCGACGTGTTACTGGCATGATTTAGAAATAATTCGTAAGGGTTCCGCGGAACCCAGTGTCTCGCCTACTTTTGCTGTTAATCGCAGGCTCAACAAAAATGAGGAAAACAATTAATAAAAATATTCCTCTCTATACTATCTTTTGATTGTAAGTAGCTTCTGTTCAAGTTTGGTAAAAATCCATGATAGTTTATGAATCTAATTAATGTTTTAAAAACTTAAACTGCAGACTGTATGTAATGTTAACTGGAAGAAAAACAAAGTCCATTTATAAGTAAAATGGAAAAAATGGTACAAAATTTTAACAAATTTTCCTTCTAGATACTAGCTTTTAATCATAAACAAGCTTCTGTCCAAGTTTGGTACAAATCCAGGATAGTTTAAGAAAGTTGTTAAAATTTTAAAAAACTTTAACCACAGAGTGAATGTAATGTAAACTGGCAGAAAAACTAAGTCCATTTATAAGTTAAATACGGATAAACTGGATTTTTTTTATTAATTTTACTTCTGGATACTATCTTATGATCATAAACAAGCTTCTGTCCAAGTTTGGTACAAATCCAGGATAGTTTAAGAAAGTTGTTAAAATTTTAAAAACTTTAACCACAGAGTGAATGTAATGTTAACTGGCAGAAAAACTAAGTCCATTTATAAGTTAAATACAGAAAAAATGGAATTTTTTTTTTACAAAATTTACTTCTGGATACCATCTTATGATCATAAATTAAACAAGCTTCTTTCCAAGTTTGGTACAAATCCAGGATAGTTTAAGAAAGTTATTAAAATTTCAAAAACTTTAACCACAGAGTGAATCTAATGTAAACTGGCAGAAAAACTAAGTCCATTTATAAGTAAAATACGGAAAAAATGGAATTTTTTTTTTACAAAATTTACTTCTGGATACTATCTTATGATCATAAACAAGCTTCTGTCCAAGTTTGGTAGAAATCCAGGATAGTTTAAGAAAGTTATTAAAATTTGAAAAACTTTAACCACAGAGTGAATATTTGTGGACGCCGCCGACGACGACGACGACGACGACGCCGACGCCGACGGAATGTAGGATCGCTATGTCTCGCTTTTTCGACAAAAGTCGAAGGCTCGACAAAAATGAACTGTTTCAGACAAGTTTATCAGGGAAGATTTGGCTGTCCTGTCTACATGTATGCCCTTTTTGTTTATGAGGAACTTAACTATTTTATGTATTTAAATCTGTTAGTATATAACTATTGTTCCTGATGGAGGTTAGTATTCCAATAATAATCGTCGTTCTGCATACAGAAGTTGGTACCACTTGTTGATATTATTCCTTTCTCGTTAACTATTTCATACGTTGCTGGGGCGGGCCCATGCTGAAGGAAATCGTAAAATACCTTATTTTAATGTAGATATGAAAATTAAGTCATTATTTCAGATCGAACTTCCTTACTCAAAATCCTGCATTGATATCATTCCCTTTTCCTTTCAGATGTTAAATTGTATTTCTTTAACCACTGCTCTTTTCCTACCCATTTCACTAGCACATTTAAATTACGTATCATTGAATACTTACTTCCAACTGCAGTACTTGATAAAATACACACTGAAAGAAAGAAAACATCTGAGATCCACATTGTCAATTAACGTTTAAAATGTTTAATTAACTTAACCAACAGAAACCACAGTTTTACATTTTATTCGAGTCAGATCACGCATGCCCCATTATCCTAAGTTAAACAGCTTTTGAAATGGACATGGTGAAATGGAAAGATAATCACTGAACTTTAACCTTCTAAGGTGCATATCGCATGTCTAATATTTTTTGAAAATGCTATTTATTACTGGGACAAATGGGCGGATCATTAACTAAAGGTAATAAAACAAATATATTTACTGCGTATTATAAACCAATCAACAATAGTAGCTTATTATATAAGTTTTAAACTATCTTTTCTGTTAAGGAAGTTTAAAAGTATAAAAAGTATAACAACAGAAAATGTTTGCATATTGATTTAAATTTATTGGTCATTCTACAGCACATAGTGTTCTTTCCCATGTCATTAGAAAATGAGTGTTAATAATAATAAAAATGATGATAATAGTAATAAATTATCGCTTCAATAAATAAATAACTTAATTAAACGTGTTTTTTTGTTGTTGTTGTTATATATTTAAAATTTAATTTAGAGGTAAAAAGAAGTTTTTAATGTTATAATATCAACCTAGAGCTTAAATATATATAAATAATAGAATCTGAAGCGAGATGATGTATCAAATATTTTTCTTTTATACGTTTTTAAGACAGAAGTCAACTTAAACACGCCTTAACATAATATGGTGTACTCGACTCTCTTTTCGATGAAAGTATTGCCCATTTTGGGGATTTTTTCCAAAAAAACTGTCGCCAGAGATGCAAATTAATGCTTTTAAAAAGATCAATTTATTATGAATCATTCTTTAGAATTTTTTCGGTGGAATTTATGCTTATGCACAAAAAAGATCCACATGTATTTGCATCTACCACAATCGACTGTTTTGTAAAAATTTGTCTATAATTTAAAAGTTTACAAATATCTCGAAGTTACATACATGTACCATAATTCAAGAAAAACACGTACATTAATGCATAAAGTCCTTAATTAGGCACTTTCATTAAACTTTTAAAGCCCATAGAAACAGATGTAAACAATGGCCGAGTTCATCTACTGTATCACTAGCCATCACTAGCCTGTCAACACCGACGTAATGAGTTCGAACCCGCACGTGGCAGGTGCGTTTGACTCCAATCTAGATTGACTAGAATTGTCCGTTTTCCTGCCGAAGTTAGCTGGTTCTCTCCAATAAGAACTGACCGCCACGATATAGACAATAGTGCTGAAAGTGGCTATAAACACTAACAATCAATCAATCAATCATAGCTTTTCTTCTGATAGTTTTGGTGTTGGTTTAGAATATCCTTCTCAATATAAAAACATGGAGATGTTGTATGGTTGCCAATGAGACAACAAGCGCTCAACTATCCCTCTAACCAGGGACAGTGGTGTAACAGCACAACATAAGAACAAACTTTAAAATTCAGTTGCAAATGGCTTTACCCAATTGATCGGTACGCAGACCAACTAACATAAAACAATAGACAATAGACACTAATATAAGAGTACTCGCAGTTACTGAATAGATATAAGAACATGTGGTATGAGTGCCAATGAGACAACTCTCCATCCAAGTCAAAATTTATAAAAGTAATTCAATATAGGTCAAAGTACGGTCTTCAACACGGAGCCTTGGCTCACACCGAACAGCAAGCTATAAAGGGCCCCAAAAATTACTAGTGTAAAACCATTCAAACGGGAAAACCAACGGTCTAATCTATAATATAAAAAAACGAGAAACGAGAAACACTTATGAACCACATCAACAAACGACAACTACTGAACATCAGATTCCTGACTCAGGACAGGTGCAAACAATTGCAGCGGGTTTAAACGTTTTAATGGTACCAAACCTTCACATTTCAAAGCCAATTACAACAAATAATCATGTTCTCCCAAACACAAGTATCAATCAGTACAGACTCAACGGATTTAGCGCAAAGACATCAAAAACAGTCTGAGAAAGGCACGATCTTGTGCAATGCCAATTATATAGGTAAACAGTATCGATAGGATGTAGAATGATAAGTACTCTTACCTGTACATGTAAAATACTATATATTCAGTTTTGTTTTAGTGTTTTTATTGTTAAAAACTTTTTAACACAATCAATGTTAGTTTTCATGTTTTTAACATAATCAATGTTAGTTTTAATTTTTTAACATAATCAATGTTAGTTTTTAATGTTTTTGACACAATTGACACAATCAATGTTATAGTTTTAATGTTCCTCAATGCTTTTCAACTTCATACTGTATTTGACTTTTTACTATTTTGATTCGAGAGTCACTGATGTGTCTTTTGTAGACGAATCGCGCGTCTGGCGTACACATTTTAATCCTGATATCCGTGATGAGTTTATTTAGTACCGATATAAACTGCAATCATACCTCATCTCCTTATTTTTATATAAACAATATTTAAAGATTTTACCTCGGCGTTAAAATGCTGACCTTCGTGAATAAGTTTATTCAAAAGATCAACGAGTTTACATGAATCATATCAACATCATCGTAAAAATTAGTATATGATGTCCCGTTTTTAATAAGAATTCTACAGGAACAGCCAAACTTCCAAAACAAATCTTTGTTTCCATGAACAAATTTAAGTTTTAATTAATTTTTGGAAACAAAATCACGGACTTAATAATTTACCAGTTATACATAGATTACGTTCAATGCAATCTAAAACGTCGCTACCGACACGGACATAGCGAAGACATTGTAAAATATACACACCATAAGAAAGGGACAAAGGAACTTCACCGTTCAAACAAGGAAAATTAACAATAAGGAACGAAAAATCGTCTATTTTGTCGTAAAGTTTTGTATAGAGTTTCTCAAGTAAAACTGACACTTATTGCTGTTTTTATTACAATTATTTAGAATAAGTTACCTTGGATAAATTTCCGCTGTATAATTAGAAAATTCTTGATTATCTAAAGCAAAATATATCATCAAAATAACGGTAAGTGTTTTTAACTTTATCAAATGTAATTTCGATGGACTTAATTTCATATTAATATTCGTAATTGGCTGAAATCTTTCAAAATTGCAGTTTTGAGCTATTTTATATTAATTATTTAGCTACAAGTTTGGAAATACCACACAATGCAGCTACAGACAAATGTATGAAACTGAAATGAACAAAATTGAAATAGAAACTAACCAAAGATACAAGGTTTATAAATAAATTCAGGCCAAATTGATACCTGCCTTTCACGTAATTGAAATTTCTGTATTTTTAAAATGTGTAGCTAAACATCATTTGTTTTCATGCATTTTAACATGACTGCAGCCCACCCAAAGAATCAAGTTTAGTCTTATAGAAGTATAGTAATGTTGCAACGTTGATGTTTTTAGAAACTCTTAGCTTTTTCCCATCATGAATATTTTCTATTTCCAGGGGTCAAAATATTCTTATTTGATTTTTATTATTTTAAAAATTCCAGTATTTTTTTAAGTCAAAATACAGGGGATACATTTAACCAGACAACTTAGAAACAAAGTAAAGTCACGAAGAAACTAAAAAAATGATTGAAATAAGAGGCAGCAGAAGTAAACCAATGTTTAAAAATTGCAAATGTATCGGGAATACACAAACAAAAGGGGAAAACGCCAGGTAATCGCATACACTCAAAATGGCGGGAGACCGGGTACGTCGACCGTATAACCAATAAACAAAAACATAGACAAATATAAGTATATCTTAAGATGTATCGAACCGTTACAAAGAAAACTTAGTTTCACATGAACCTTTCACAAATTCGTTGAGAGAACGCGAAATACGCAGGGAACGACAATAGTGACACAGGAACACTTGCGTGGTTATCTGTGACACACATTCCATAATATCCTGTGTATTGTATTCTTATACTAGGCGGAGTAACGGGTTTTTTCTTTTCGTTCGTCACCTATACGTACAACTGAAAGTGTTACATCTGACGACCTGTAGATTATTTTACATAATCGTGAACATGTTTATCTGTTTCCATTTCTAAAAATATATATAAGCTCGTCTCTCCGTTCATATTGGTTATACACGTATCTTATGTATCTATGTTTCTGTATACGCGTACGTGACCTTTTTTTTTTTTTTTGCAATATCTGCAGATATTGACCAGCTGGTGAACTGCCAATTTGTATATCCTTGATCTTTCTTGTTCTTTTGATCATATCCGTTAAACTTAACTCGTTTCTTTGAATGTATTTTGCAAAAGGACGGAAGCGGATTGTTGGTCTGTTACAAAATATCACTACGTTTTAACGTGATTATCAAATAGGGTTTTATGCACGTTTCTTTTGAAAAGATATTTTTAATAACTTTACTTTTACACTTTTTGAACTTCACATTTAATTAACCACCCATAATCTGATCTAACCTTGAATTATCATGCACATAATTTCTGACGGAAAGTCTTTGTGTGAGTTAATTAACCATAATTATGATCGAATGCATATTGTTGATCTTATTTCAGTCGGCAACACAAACAGCTGATCTGTTGATTTATTGTCTATTCAGGTGTAAGTTCTATATACTACCCCTTCTAACATTAGATGTATAACCAGAGGTTTTCAATAAACTAAAACGTTAGCGACAGTCCAAGAGATCTGGTCAGTTTCCTTGCTTGCAAATGCTATGACGTCAAATAAACGCCAGTGATATAGGGCTAAGTATACATTACTTCTTAGTGATCGGCTCTTGCGGAAACACAAATACGAACTGCTGACATTGATACTCAAATTATGAAGAATTTACAGCGAAAATCATAATCATCGTCAGGTATTTTTGCATTATCAACATTTTCTTATTCATTAGTCAGTAGCCTCGCATTTTAAAGGGGAAATTAGCTATCTCGCATGTATTCATGTACATATCGTTATCAATAAGATGTTATGAATGAATCAGAATTTGTCTCAATATTAGCTGATTTGAACTTTTCCTGACTAGTTTGACAATAAACGTGTAGTCGGCCTGTTCTCAGTTCATTTGTGAAAAAGTATTGCGTCAAACTTACTTGCCGTC